GGTGACTGGGCACTGAGATTAGTGACAGCCTCAGAGCTCTGCAACCGGAAAACTGCGGCAAAGGTAGCATGAGTTGAAGTCACCTTATGCAGTAAAATTCATTAACAAGAACCTACAAGTCAAGTGAGAAGGATTAGTCCTAATAGGCAGAAGAAAAGCCAGAAGATAGTAAAGTTTTGCAGTAATGAATAGCTCCCCCACTAACTAGCCAAGGCAGCACCACACAGGAAATCAGATTCATTCACCTTCAAGTCAACTCATCAAATAAAGTAAGACTCATTTGTCTTTATATAAAAGAGTAAACTTTAAAGTAATGTATGAAAAAGCTTTTCAAAATTCCTATGTAAGTGAAAGGTAGACTCGATCTAGTCTGGAACTAAAGATGGTTGTAAAGCCTTTCTGCAATGAGGAAGCAGCTGAGACCTGGTCACGGCAACTGTGAGCACAAACAAAAGTTAGCCTGTTTCCCAGCTCTGATTCATTTGGTTTCCTTTATAACAGACCTTTTGGACAGTTGGTCAACATGAAAAGCCTTTAAAAAGTTTCAAAACCACTTAATAGCTTTATATCCCAGCAGTAAGTGCTGCCTAACAAAGTCATTTTCATACTACTAAACAGGTAGGAATTCAATAAGTTTATTGTATTCTCTGAAACTGACCCATTAATGATAAATGGCCATCAGCAACCACATGAAAAAGCAGCTTAACCAGTTTCACACCTATGGAACCCAATGGAATTATTCAGAAAGATTCATTATTTTAAGTAGGAACTGCCAGACTACTTTCCAACAAAAAGTCATCTGTATTCAGACATCTCATTTCCTGTACCCTCTTTGTTTTACTTCTTTAGGCAGCTGTCAGTGCAGTGAACAAGAGCAGCTGTGGTTTCCTGCTAGCGCTGGCCACTGGCACGCAAGACACTGCACAAGCAAAGGAAGGAGTGCTCTGACCCACAGCATTACTTCAGCTGCCAGGCAGCATCAGTCCAGTTGTACAAATACTGCCTTTGGATTGCAAGCAACTTGAGTTCCAACACAAGAAAACTGCTTATTCCATGTTCCCAACAGGATGAGGAGGCATCTGACTGATTTTTCTTTTCCAGAGAACAGTTACATTGCAGAAAATGGAGTTTTTAAAACGTGAGACCTACCGTTTAACTGGGGATATTCATGACTGTTCTGTAAAGATTCCTAAACCACAAAAGAGAAGCACATGAAAGGAAAAAGAATTACCACCTTCTCGAGCAGCAAAGGTTTGCAACCCTTAAAGTAGAATTAAGGATTGACTTCTACATCAATAGGTAAGTGCCACATTATTCAACAAGAAATGTTATTTCTAGGTTCTCTCAGGAAGGTGGAAAACCCCCACAAGTTATGTCCTGAAAAGAAAGCATGTTTCAGTACCTAGTGCCTCTTTTCTGGAAAAACACTTCTCTTGACCCAAAGCAGAATCGTGTAGTGACAACTATGTCCAACACAGCCAAGCTGACTTGTGTTCTTACACCTGCTCTGGGGAAAGAGAAGAAAGTAGGATAAGCCATTAAACAACTTCCTATTTTCACGAACAATGCTTTAGATTGTTAGAATTAGGGTATTAAGTAAGAGCACTGTAGTTCTTGAATAGAAATGTGACGGTCAGGTTTCCCACCAAGGTGTAGAAATTTGCCAATCCAAAAAACGTAAGACTGATCTTGAATTTGCCCTCATCTGGTTGTGTCAGGCCACAGGGCAGCCAGCACAGAAGGAGGTGCAAAGGACTTTGTAAGCAGCAGCAAGAGTAACTTAACCGAAGCAGTGAGAAAACAGCAGTGTAATAGCCATCAGTATTTTACAAGAAATTATAGTAATGGTAGTGAAACAGTAGCTCCACGGGGTGAGCTTCAGCCACGCCCAAGCTAAGACTCAGTCTGATGTTGGTCATTCTTTTTTCAAGTAAACACCAGAAGTTGAGTTAGCCTCTTTTGGGTAAGAATTAAGCATGTCACAGGACACTCACTACATATTTGATCTTGGAACGTTAGGAACGACATTAACAGGACAGACTATTTGTGCTGCAAAGAGAAAAATCCCCATGTCACATATACACACCAGCTGAATTGTCACAAACACAGTTACCTAAGAACACCCTTCCTACTCTAGTCTTGAAGTTAGAGGTCTTCACTGATAAGAAATCAGTTGCTTTCTGTAACCATCATGATTTACCACAAAGCTGGTCTCCACTGAAGAAAAATAAATGTGTTTACAAACTATGGAAGCTCTGGTTTGAGCCACGGTCCTGAAATGGTTTCCAGTGCCTAACTGTCCACAAAGATCAGAGGTCTTAAATTATTCTGGAGGACATCTGTACTTGTTTTTCAAGGAAATACCATCTATCCCAGACTAAAAGGGAGTTTGATTCCTCTGAGATCACAGCCGATCCCAGGAGAGCCCAGCAGGATTCACCCTCCCCGTTCCTTGCCCATGTGTTGGTGTCACCTATGCCGAGCTAGACACTCCTAGAAAAATCACTTTTGTCTTCCTGTGTATCCAGACGGTAACTGGATACACAGTTAACTTGTTATCAAAACTTGTTATTTTTCCCTACGGATGTCTGCTGTGTGAGCATTCGGATTTCGCCAACACAGCAGGTAGAGCGTTAAGGGACAGCGGCTCCTCCAGCTCCCGACTCCAGAGCGGGCACTCCCCGCGCGCTGCTCCCACGTTTCCCAACAAACACTACCGAGGTCTTGAGTCACACCGAGTTAAAATCCGGCGGGCGCTGCCCTCGCACCATTCTCCTCGCCCAGGGCCATACCGGCGGTGGCCGCGGCCAAGGCCCGGCCGTGACACCGGCCCGGGTCACCCGCGGGGCCGGAGCAATGGGGAGCCCAGGGGCTGCGGGAGGACCGCCCTGTCCCGGCCTGCCCTGGAGTGTGGATCCCCGGGAGGCACGGGGATCCCTGTGCGGGCGGGCAACGGGACAGGCCGGCGGGGCAGGCAGGGCTGCCGGGGCGGGGCGGTCGCGGGCCCGGCGGCCCGGCCCTCCGCGGGCCCGGGCAGGTCGGCGGGGCTCACCTCCCTTGCAGGGCGTGCGGTGCTGGCTGTGCTGCGCCCGGTAGCCCTCGATCACCTCCCACTCGCCGTTGTCGCGCTTGATGGGGAAGGAGACGCTGAGCACATGGTTGCAGGGCTTGATGATGCGGAGGATGCCGCGGACGCGGTGGCGCCGCTCCTCCATGCTCTCGCGGGTGCGCAGCCCCTCCACCAGCTTGTCCTCCACGATGCTGGCGCCGCGATCGAAGAACCCCTCCACCATCTTGAAGAAGTTGGGGTCGTCCTCCTTCTTGGCCGCCTCGCAGTAGTGCCGCCGCGGGCAGCGGCCCCCGCCCCATGCCGCCGCCGCCGCTGCTCCCCCGGCCGCCGCCGCCGCCGGCCCGCCGGGCTCCGCGCCCGCCAGCACCGAGCCGGCGGCCAGGCGGGACGCCAGCAGCTCGCCCAAGTAGCGGTACATGGCGGCGGCCGCCAGAGGAGGGTCAGAGCGGCGCTGCCGCTGTCACAGGAGGCACCGGGCGCCGCCGCCGCCGCCTTTAAACGGGCCGGGGGGGGCGGCGCGGGGAACGCTCCGCGCCTCCCGAGCGCGCGTGCGCCCCGCCGGCCGCGCCGCCCCCCCCGGCGGGATTCGCGGGCCGGGAGGGGGCGCGGCGGGGCCGGGCCGGGCCGTGCGGGGCCTGCGCGGAGGGAGCGCCTCCCGCCCCTTCCCCGCGGCTCTGCCCGCCTTCCCTTCCCCTTCCTCCGCCGCCGCCCTGCTTCCCTGTGCCCGGCGAGCCGCGCTGCTGCCCCAGGGCCGGGAGCGCTGCGGCCCCCGAGGAACCCGGCGCAGGTAGCTTTGACACGCTGCCCTTCAGCCGGGGGAAAACGGGGCCTCTCCTGGCGCGGGTGCAGCTGCGAGCGGAGGTGTGTTCACACAGAGCAGCGTGCAGCACTCGCAGCGAAAGCTGCCGGGAATAACCCAGCTCGCCCACGTGTGTTTAGGTGTCCCCTCGCAAGAGGGGACAGAGGCTGCAAGTGCAGCTGTTAACATGACAGCTTTCGGAGAACCACAGAGTCAGTGGGGCTGGAAGAGACCTCTGAGCTTTATCTGCTTTGTCTGCTCAGCTGTTGGCCCTTTGCTGGGTGTTGGTCCATTAAAATCCGTGTTTTTTATGTAGCTCGGGTGTTTGCACCTCTAAGGCTATTGCTTTAAACTGTGCAAGATCTGCTTTCAGAGCGTGGGTGATAGCGTGTAGTGGTATTGAACCATGTTCGTTTTAAAAGTAAGTGGATCATTTTCTGTAGGTTTACGCCGCTAATTGGAAAATACAGTGGGGTGTTACTCTTTAGGCTTGTGGGAGGCCAATGCCTTAGGGCATAACCAGGAATAACCTGGGAATAACCAGGAAGTTGGTTTATCTCTGTGGAAATCTCTCTAACCACTGTGGACATCCAAGGGCTGTGCTACAAGGCTTGTGGGCAAGTGATTTGATGTGTATTTGTCAGCAGGAAGCTTAGTCATATAGTCTTTGAACATACATAAACTCTTTGGGCAATTGATACTCAGTTTTTATCTTGATATAATGTGGTTCTCTGTCCCAAGATTCAGAAGAATTTGTCCTAAGGTCCACTAGTAAGACTACTTCTTATCTGTAATGAGGATGGTTTATAACTGTATCCTAGAGAGCAAAGATCCTTGATATTAAGTGATACGGAAAATAAAACAAGAAAAGAGTTTGTTCTTAGGCCAGTTTGTTCTTTGGATGTTCCCACAGGGCTTCAGAAACAAACTTACTGATTTGTTTTTCTGTCCATACTCTAAGTGGTTCATGGAAAACTTCTATTTTGGTGTTAATTTTGAGGTCACAGGGTTGCAGTGTTCTCAGTGGTTGTATCAGCTTTGAGGTACTATTTGATTTCAGTCATCTACAGGTTCTCAATTAAATCTCAGTTTCTGTACAGGTTCTTAAGTTTTTCTTAGGAAAGAAGGCGGTGAAAGATCTTGTGGCAATTAGTCCTTATGAGCTAATTATTTTCACCTTGTTCCATAGGTTAGAATACCATTTCACATACATAAAGGTTAAATGAAAAATATGATTAGCCAGTTTAGGCAAGCATGCAGAGGTATATCTTAAGGTTAACATGCTTAGCTCCTATCCTGCTTTCAGCTGTGGTCTCTCTGATTTACGAGCTTCACTTAAGTATCAGCTGCTTGCAGTATCAGGCTGTGTTTGCAGTACACGTTTGGGGATGTATTTGAGACTAAGTATGGGACACGACAATGAAGAGAACCAAGTGGATCTCTGCAGAGGTTCAGTCACACAACTGTATTAGGAGCAGTGCAAATACACCAAAGCCACCCTCCTTTCTAAACAGGACTGGATTTTTGACAAAATATTCAACAAGCTGTGTGCTGAATGCTGAGAATAACTAAATCAGGTTGTTAATTTTCTTAGCCTTTAAATGTTGTAAGAGAGAAGATAACTTAGGATTTTTGTTTGCACATTCTTATGACTGAAATAATGTGTACATTTTACAGGCAGTTTACCGAACTCCATACCATATTTCTGTGTGATTCAAGTCCCTTCTGGAGGCAAGAGGAATGACACTGAGGCTATCCAAGAATAACAGAGGCCATATACCCCATTCCAGTATTCTTATGTGGTAAGTGGTGAGCAGATAAATATTTGTCAGAGAAAATTAAAAATGGCATGCTTTAGAATGAGTTCAAGCAGGTATGAAAGTGGCAATTGCAACAATAAAAGAGGAACTCTATCATTTTTGCTCTTGTATAGCGTGTGGGGAGCCATCAGAAAATTCACATTTGAATCAGTAAAAAATCACTGACTTCATTAATTTCATACTGGATGTTTGTCTTAGGCCTACATCTGGAGAGAGATACATAGAGAAAACTCAATATCTGTGTGGTAGGAGCTGTCTATGATTCATGGACTTTGCAGCAAGGTCTTATCCAACTGTGTGTACATGATGGGTGTCTGTTTCTATTTAAACTCTGTGAATTATAGTTGAGGGACACAAGTTGATTTAATTTTCTAAGCTTCCTCTAAAACATAGAGAAATTTTAACAGATTATTTTTATTATAGATAAGAGCAATAATAAACACTGCATTGCGCCTTCCTAAAGCAATCTGCAGTTTCAAGATGTGAATTATCAATTTT